TCGAAAGACATTATAACGGCAGATGGGCTACTAAACGCCCCGGGCCAAAGCAATGCCATTCAGAGAATGAAGAAAACATGGAAGCCTCATACGACACCGCCACTGAAGATGATCTACTCGGCAAGTCTGAGGATAACGAACAAATCCCTCTGTACCAAATGCCTAGCAGAACATGCCCAGAATCCCTACAATATAGGGCGAGGGCCAAAATAAGAGCAGACGAGGATTTCAAAAATGAGATAAAGCAAATCCTTAACAACGCGGAGCAAGAAACAGTAAAGGCGATCATGTGCTTCTATGAACGTGAAATCGGTCGTTTTAATACCGAAATAAAGAAAAGAAAACGAGCCAAAACGGCTGGAACACTGAACACTAAGAACTGTAGTACGATCGAATCAGCGCGCGTGGCGCAAGCTGAAAGCAATCAAGACAACTTAACGATCGAGACAGTCAAAAAAATAGCTGTACATCTACAAAGGCGAACGATTCGAAAAAGACGCAATCCCTGATGTGCGTACTCAGTGCCACACATAAAGCAAATTCTCATGAAAAACTGGCATTTAATAGAAACACAACCACTACTGAGCGAACTATACAAAAATCCGCCGCTCGTATCTTACAAAAGAGGGCGGTCGCTCAAAGACATACTCGTGAGGGCTAAACTTTGAATAGGCTACTCTAAACACACGCTTGGGAGTCGTGTAGGCCTGTCAACCCCATTTTACGCCACCATCTTCCTCTTCGCTACTGGAGACAACTTCGCTTCGTTCAGAAGAAGATTCACTTGACAAAACTTCAATGTCTGCCATCTCCTTCGCCCCCGAATACAAACAGTGAGTGAAATAAACCACGCTATCGGAGTGAACACAACCAGTGACGTCATCAATCCATTTCGCTCAGTACCAGGGCCCGGACATGGTTTTGTGTAAAATTTTAGATTTGAACGGTTAAAAAAGATATCTTTCGCATCTTTTTGGCCAAAGCAAATTATCTCATGATGATCAGCATATTCAAAACTACAGGTTAGAGCAAATATTTCAGATACGAAAATTTCGTTTCAGTAGCACTTTAAAGGCCTGCACTTGCTGACTGTGTAGAGTTTAACTTCCACTGGATTTTTCCTAGAACAAAACAATAACGTTTGAGCAGGGAGTAGCAAAACCTCAAGGTTCGTCAATGCAATCTAAATAATTTTTTCCTGATATTTCAGCCTTTGAAGATCATCAAGTTGCATCCGTTTTAGACGAGAAGAAACTGACCATTCATGAAAACACTTCATCAGGTGAGAAAAACTGTTAAAGGTTAGTTTGCTCCTGTTAAACCAGCTGAAACGTGTTTTTCTAGCGAGTGACACACAAATAGTTTGGAATGTTTCCCAAGGAGAAGAACTTTCGTCACTGAGTCATGTTATCAGTACTTCTTCAGGTGAGAAAAAGCCAAAGGTAAAAAGAACGTTTCATTCAACTGTAAAGCAGTAAGCGGAGTATGGCTCTTTGTCGGGTGGCTACTGGCCATGGGGCCCCGTATTCTATGACCTGTTCAAAAATGCTCGGAGCCACGTTCCGAGTTACTATCTAAAATCGTAATCCTTAGACATCCAGAGGTATTCACATAAAATACTGCCAAGCTATTGTTATGGAAGATCGAAGCGCATGGGCCACTGACTGGGTTGCATTCTGCATAATGTTAAGATTGATTCTTTTGTGTAATCATGGAATGGAAAATGTTATCTTAAGCCTAGTAATCAAATTGATTGGTAATGCTTCTTTGAAAATAAGAGCGGCGTGTTTGGTGAAAAAGCTAAGGGCCTCAAGCATAATGTTGTGGAAGTTATAAAATGTACAGTCTAATGTTTTACGTTCGACCTCAATTGCATTCTGTTTTATTTTCAAACGTGACTGAAAACGAATTCCTATCAGGTGAAGGAAAACAAGAAATTGGTGACAATGCTTCTCGAGGTGAGAAAATCTGATGAGATTCTTTTAAAATAAATATCCACATATAGTCATCGTCATTGCAAGTTTGCACTCGTTTAAGAGGGATTTGACAGTATTTTCAGTGAATACTGAAGCATTACGGAGAGTCTATGGCCCGTTTGAGGAATCTCTTCCGGAGTCGCTCTATAAGCGATCGACTCATAATTTTTCCAGCAAAAAGTCAAAACATCATTAAAATTAGAAAAAGACAGTTATGCAGATGATCAATTGAGGAGTACCCATGGTTGTCACGATATGACACTAAATTCTCAGGAGAAGCCAACAAAGAAAAATTGAGGCCTAGTTGGGAGAATTAAATTTTAAGTCTTGATATGGAAGAGGTTAAGGGTTGAAAAAGGCAGGGAACAAAAAGCCTTCCCTCCCTGGTTATTTTGGCGGAGCAATCAAATCAGTTGAACAGTTTCCAGATCAAAGTTATAAAGTTTTAGTTTTTCAGTCTTCATGAACATAAAAGGGTGGGGCTACAATCCTCGAAGATGTATTTACCCACAATGCTTCCTTGCGTTTCAGCCACAGTAGAAGCTCATGTCACATCGATATCAGCGGAGGACAAACTCGACGTTCAGAAGAACACCTCACCAGGTGAGGAAAAACCATCAAATTAGGCAGTGCAAATATTCATCTGAGTTCAGATTCCTGTCTCACTCTTTTAAAGCTGTCCTCATGCTTTCAAATTGTTCAAAAGTTTATCAATGATCATGCCTAAAGCTCATCATTATTCATACAATTTTGTGTTTAAACTGAAAATCGCTGTGGAAGCTGAAGCTGTCAAAAACAATTCCACTCCTGATTTGGGACTCATTTTGTGCCCATATCTTACAGCCTCAGTCAAAGCCGACCTTCAACAGTGCCAAGTTGACGTCGTTATTATCACTGGTGGTCTAACTCCCATCCTACAGTTGTTAGACAAATGCCTAAACAAGCCGACAATGAGGACAAACAGTAAAGCCTCATTTGCTATGCACCCAAAAAAACAAACGGTTCCTTTAGGAGCCACCAGAGGAATAAAAGTCAATGACCGACCTCAACTTGTTTTGTTATTAATTTTATTTCTGCCTGCTGTATTTCAGCTTAGAGACGAATAAATCTATGTTAATTTCCTTTAATTTTGAATTTGCTGTTTTGCAGAAATTTTGTTTGGAAAAACACTTGGCTATATTAGCCGAGGCCCCTTCTCTAGCTCAAATTAGCTAGGGATTTTGGTAAAGTTTTATGAAAAACCACTTGGTTTATAGATGAAGAAGTGGTAAATCCTCTTTTGAAGAGAGCTATAACAAGGATTTCATGATATCTGAAAACAATAGATCTTGATATTCAAGAAAATTTAAGACTTGTAAGTTAGTATCAAAGACATTTGTATTGTATTTGTGTTGTATTTATTTTTTCCTCCATTTTAACAGACTAGAGTCTAATGAATAATTACATAAAGGATAAAAGGATGGAGAAGGGTATAATATAGCAAGCTAATTAGATGCCCTTTACTTTAAATTACCTTTTTTCATACAGTAAAAAGAAGTGATACAGCAAGAAATAAGATGCAAATATAGGAGAGAGAGATTAGGGATCACACCTTAAACAACAGATTTATAGATTAAAAAAAACATGGTCATAGGAAGACATTAATCAGTACTGGAAGGTGATGTAAGAAAAGTGCTCTTTTAAAAAGATTTTTGGTGGGCTTCTTATAGATATAGGAGTATCATTCCAGTAGTTAAGCACCCTATAACTGTTGGAAAGAATTTCCTTATAATTATATTGAAGGGGCTAGGGTTCAGGTGTAAAAGATGTATTTCTAATGGCAGAATCATGGATCTCAGATACAAAAGAAAGTGCAAAATTAGAAGATTTTTGTCTACAATATGACTGTAGAATAGTTGACATGTATTCAATTTAATTAAGTCAGGAAGCTAGGCCAAGGCTTACATAATGGGGAGTAACATGGTCATGAATTGGTATATTGTTGATGATTCTTATAGCTTTGTTTTGTAGCCTTACCAACTGAGACAATGGAGCTTCGTAATTATTACCCCACAATATGCAGCCGTATGTTAAATAACAATATACAAGTGCATAGTATACACTTACATATCAATAGACATATCAATTTTATGCACAAAACAATGGAAATATAAATGATTGCAAGAAAACAATTAGCTATATGCATATACCACCTGTTAAGTATTAAAATCCATTTCAACATACATCAGCACACTTAAGTGTATTTATATTTCAGTGTTTTTCCTGTGTTACATATATGAAGATCAGTATCAGTTCAAGTGGAAATTAAGTAAAAGATATACCAGTACATCTTCAACAAGTTTTGACCAGAATCCGAGTTCAAAAATCAGGTAAGAGAATTTTACTTTCTTTTGTAAGATTTGTTTTTCCTGAGAAAGAATTTAGCAAAACTCTCCTCTCCAGGGGAAACGTGGTGGCCTAATTGTTAGTGCAGGTCTCTGGACTCAGGGTCAAGAGGTCTGCATTTGTAACCTGGCCAGGGCATTGTGTTTTATTTTTGCGCAAGAAAGTTTGCTCTCAGAGTGCCTCAGTCTCCACCCAGGAGTGTATTACTGGGTACTAGTGAATTGTTAGGAAAGCCCGATTAAATGCTGGTGGTGTTACTGTGGAATAGACTGGCCTCCCCTCTAGGGGGAGTAGTACTGCTGGTAATGCTCCCACTCGCTTCATGCAAGGAAGCCTGGATAAGATTTGGCTGGGTGGGCTTGCACTAGCTGCTCTGATTCAGACTTGATCTACCTTAATTATAATTACCTACATCTTTCTTCCTAACAGCCTTTTTAGTTTAAATTATTTAAATTGCTGTGGTGAAAGATGAACTTGCAACACAGAGATGCTGATTCAGACTGGCTTGCCCACTTTTTCAACATCAGGACTGTATTTTAAAGGAGCACTCTTTTGAAACTTCCCCTTAATTTGGAAACCCGAAAATTCCAAATATATTTACATAAAAACTTGAAATGTCACTGTTTAATCGTCTCTGAATTTTTTTTCCGAATTGTCACACGGGAAGATCATCAAACTCGCGATTTTCTTTTGACCAGCTATTAGTTTACGTAATCAATTGCCAGACTCAAGCAGACTGGAGCGAGTTTTGAGCGTGACGTAGATTACTCATTTGACGCGCCGTGCTCGTGGCTAATTTTCAAAAACGGTATTTTGATCGCATATATTGCTTTTATAACACTAAGACTAAGACTATTTCACTAAATTTCATGAGGTTTCCCTATGAATATAAAATGACGCCAACAGTGTTTTGAGTTATCCACGTCACAATGGGAGTGACCGCTGACCGAAGATAAGTTGGCCGTGATTTCGAAAATCAATGGCGGGAGGGTTTTCAAATCGTAATTTCTCGCCCTAGAATTGACTTTCAATTAAAATTATTATTGAAAAGGCTTTATTAATCGCTAAAAATTCATATTATAATGAAATATTTAACTGAATTTTTCGGATTTTCAAATTATAGGGAAGTTCCATAAGAGTGCTCCTTTAAAACTCTTTTTCTTACAGTTGCTATGGCTGCAGAAAAAAGTCCAATTAAAGTTCCATGTGAAAATGTAGACTTGCCCGAAAAAGAAAATGCAGTAGGGGACGACACTTAACAAGGTGAACCAGGTCCACCTCTGGCCTCAATGTTAACTGGCTTTTTGTTAATTATAGGGTTCTTATCTAAATTTTTTCGCTTTTTGCGCTTAGTCTGTTTTAAAGTAGCGAATACACTTTCTCCTTAACAACAACCACAACAACAACTGAGTCTCATTGAGGTTTCAGCCAAAAAGAGTCTCAGTCTAATAATTAAATGAGTTCGGTTTGCCCTGTGGAGG